CTCCTCATCATCATCATCATCCGCATCATCCCCATCCTTTCTCATCCTCATCCTCATCCTCATCCTCATCATCCGCCTCTTCTTGCCCAACTTCTTAGCACTCGTATTAGTGTTACTCTTTATGAGGGCGAGCCGCTGGATGACCCCAAGGGGGGCCCCCCCCCTTTTCCCCGATCCGTCGTCGGGGAACCCCCCTTCCCCTTTCCCCGATCCGTCGTCGGGGAACCCCCCCTGCCCCCTTTCCCGATCCGTCGTCGGGGGACCCCCCCCCCTCCCCCCCTTCCCCTGTCTGTCGTCGGGGACCCACCCCCTCCCTCCCTTTCAAAAGGGCGGGGGGGGGTCCGACCCCATCCCCATTCCCCCAATTTGGCCGACAAGTTCGACCCCCCCCACCTCCCCCCCTTTCGCCACGGCGCTCCCGGTCTCCGGAACCCGACCCCTTCCATCCCTAACTTTAATCCTCACTCTTATCCTAACCCGTAGCCCGAACTCCGGAACCCAAACCCTAGCCCCAAAGAGTAACTCAAACCTCATTACGCACTACTCACTATTCACGACTCACTACTCACTACCCACCACTCACCTCCCACTACCCACAACTCACTAATACCTACTCACTAGTCACTACCCACTACAAACTACTCACTACTCTCTACCCGCTCCCCAATATTCACTACCCACTAAGCACAACTCACTACCCACTACTCACTAATCACAGACAACGACTCACTACCCACTAACCACTATCCGCTACTCACTACTCACACTTCACTACGCACTGCTCACTGACCACAACTCACTACTCACTAGCCACTACTCGTTACACGCTACTTCCTACACCCTACACAGTACTCGCTACTCACTACTCGCTCGCTACCCAATACGCACTGTTCACTACGCACTACTCACTATTCACTACGCCCCCACTACTCAATACTCACTACTCACTATAAACTACTCACTGCCCACTACTCATTACTGACTAAACACAACTCACTACCCACTAACCGCTATCCATGACTTACTACTGAGAAAGCACAGTTCAATGCTCACTACGCACTGCCCACAACTCACTACTCACTATCCGCTACTCGCTACCCAATATGAAATATTCACTACCCACTACGCACTACTCGCAACTCACTACTCACTACTCCCTCCTCCCTACTCACTAGTCGCGAGCTGCTACCCACTACTCACTATTCACTACTCACATCTCACTACTCACTAATTTATACTCGCTACTCCCTCCTCACTACCCACTACTCAATACCCACTTCTCGCTTCTCACTCACTACGCACTACTCCCTACTCCCTACACGCTACTCACTACTCGCTACTCCCTATTCGGTACGCAATATCCCCTACTCACTACTCACTACTGGCTCCTGACTACTCCCTCCTCACGATTCACTACTCACAACGCCCTACTCGCTACTCACTACTCACTACTCGCAACTCCCTACTCGCTACTCCCTACTCGCTACTCGCTGCTCACCACTCGCTACTCATTACCCTCTACTCACTGCGCACTACTCACTACTCACTACTCACTCCTCGCTATTCGGTACTGACAACTCCCTCATCCCTACTCCCTGCCTACTCACAATTCCTTACTCGCTACTTCCTTTCCACTACGCACTGCCCACTACTCACAAATACCTACGCACTGCTCACTACTACCACTACCCATTACCCACGACTCACTACTCACCACTCACTGCGCACTACTCACAATCAAATTCCCCCTACTCACCAATCGCTTCTCAATGCACTCTACTCTCTCCTGACTACCCGAGAAGCCCCCTCCCCAGCCTCCTGTTCGGCGAAAAAAAAAGAAAAGGGGGGGGGGTCGACCACCCCCCCTTTCCAGCGCCAAGGGGGGAAGGGGGGAGGGGGGGTCGGACCTTCCCCCCCCCCCCTTTAAGGGAGGGAGGGGAGGGGGAGGCTTCGAAACTGTCACCCCTTTGAAAGGGGGGAGGGGGGGTCTGCGAGCACCCCTCCCTTTTGTGTATGCAGGGCTATCCACTGGCGCGCTTTCCTTCTTTAGAGTGCATTTATTATTGTAATTATTAGTATTCGGATTCGTCTTCCTTTGTTTAGTATTATCATTAGTGCTGTTAGCCTCAGTGGCCGTACTGATATGCGTGGGATATGTAGTATTATGGGAATTAGTGGTATCAAATCGATTACTATCATTAGTGCATGCGTATTCGTAGTAACGTTAGTTTTCGTGTTCGCAGTCTTCGTATGAATCATAATCACAATCTTATGACGTTGCTTAATGTTCGCTGTAGTTTGTATGAGCCGTGTTTTTATCCTTATGATTACACGTCTACTGTTTCGTATTCGTATTATCATTCTGCTTCGTAGTAGTGGTATCCTCATCATATTGCTATTATTCCTCCTCCTCCTTCTCCTCCTCCTCCTCCTCGAACTCCTCCTCCTGCTCCTAAACCTCCTCCGCCTCCTGCTCCTCTGCCTCCTCGCTCCTCCCTCCTCCCTCCTCTCTCCTCCCCTACCCCTCCTCCCTCCTCCCTCCTCCCTCCTGCTCCTGCTCCTGCTCCTGCTCATGCTCCTGCTCCTGCTCCTGCTCCTCCTCCTCCTCCGCCTCCTCTTCCTTCTACTCATCCTCCTCCTCCTCCTCCTCCTCCCCCTCCTCCTCTTTTCTTCCTTCATTCCTCCCTCCACCTGATTCCCTCCTCCTGTTCATCCTCCTCACCATCCTCTCCTTCTCCTCATCCTATCCCCCTCTCATCCATCCTCTCTCCACCTCCTCTACATCCTCCTCCGGCCCCCCTCTTTCCTTGTCGATCTCAGAACCCTTCCCCATCGTTGATCCTTCTTCCATCCCCCACCCTTAATCCCCCCCACCCACTCCTTCCTCCACCATCATCGATTCTCCTCCATCCTTCCTCCATCCGCGAATCTCGATCTAGGACGAGCAAACATAATAGAAACATGATATGTTGGAGTCGCTGGCCCATGGCGCGCTCCGAGCGCCAGTAAGGGGGTCAGAAAAGAAGCGTCGTCGTTAAATCGATTCACTCCCCTTTCCCCTCCCTGACGGGGGGGGGTAAAGGGGGGGGGTCAGATTACTGCCACCACCTGGGTTCCTGGCGGGTCCTGGGAGTGTCCGCCCTGTGAACGGATAACAAACCCCCTCCAGAGGGGTCGTCAGCGGGGGTCCCTGGGGTGTTCCCGCCTGTGGTGGGTAGGGGTGGTTCCAAGTCAGAATGCCGCTCCGCCAGGTCCCGGCGGGTCCCAGGGGGGGCGCCAGCGGGGGTCGGGGGAGGTCCCGCCTTCAGGGTCGGCGGCACCGGCTGTAAGGCCTTTACAACATTTGTTTGGCGTCGCTAGCCCATGGCGCGCTCCGAGCGCCAGGAAGGATGTCCAGTGCCGACCCAAGAGATCCGCGCGGACGTCAGAAAGTTGCTACTTGTGTCGTCCGCTCTTCGAGGATCCTCATCATGCCTCCTCCAGCCTCAACTCCTCATCATTCCTCGATCCCTCCTCCCTCTTCCTGCATCATCCTCCATCATCCATCCTCCTCTATCCTCGATCACTCCACGATCCTTCCTCCGCCAACCTCGACCCCCCTTTTGTCCTCGACCCATCCTCGAGATCCCTCATCCGTGCTCGATCACCCATCCAGTCTCATCCACCTTCGATCCTCCATCCTCGATCCTCCTCGATCCCCCCTCCGCCATCCTCGATCCCCCTCTTATCCTGGATGCCTCCTCGAGATCCCTCCTCCGTGCCGGATCACTCATCCACCTTTGATCCTCCATCCTCGATCCTCATCGACCCTCCATCCTCGATCCCAGACATGCGATGTCCCGATGTTTCAGCACGCGGTTCCCCAGGGCCGGCTCCTCGTCCCGAGTCCCTTTTCGCCGGCCCCGAGACCTGGCGAGGGCCTCCAGGGGCCGAAAATGGCCAACCCCCCCTCGGCGGCGCGCAACCATGGATCGGGGGAGGTGCTCTCCCCAAAATGCGGGCGGTGCCGTCTCGCCCGGCGGCTGAAGTCCGCGGGTTCTCCAGGACACGGGGCCCGTCGCAGATCCACACCCCCTTGATCCAGGTTTGCGATCGCCTGACCGCCCCCCCCCCGCCCGGATGTTCTTTGTTTTTCCGACGCGAGCGCGTCTGGGACCCCCCCCCCGACCCACGACCCCTCAGGCCCCTCGACTTAGGTCGGGCGTATCCTCCTACAGGCGGATCTTGGACGAACAATTCTATACATATACACACACGCACACGCACACGCACATACACACACACACACACTCAAAGCAGATTCAAACGAAGATCCACACATACTTGATGCAAGCATCGCCCCCAGGCTGTTGTTGTTGCCATGTTGGAGCACTCCTCCTGCAGAGGGACGGGCCCGACGTCACCCCGGAGGCCCCTCGGGGATCTTCTGACCTGGGTCAATCCAGACCAGGGTCATCAGGAAACCAATAACTGCAATGCAGGACAAAAAAAACTGCAACGCAGGTCTTCGCACACCCGGGTCAGCCAATACGAGCGGCCGCCTCGCGGCCACGAGCGGCTCGCTAACCCGGGTCAGCCAGAGGGGGTCTTCGCAGGATCCTGCAGGATCCGGTGCCCTGGCTGACCCCCGTTTGCATTGACCCCCGTCTCACAATGCCTGACAACAAATGTTGTCCCAAACCAACAGCGGCCGCTGTTGGGCAGGCGGCCTTCTGTCTCGAATGGACACAGGCCGCGGCGGCGTGGACAACACGTCCTGCTCAAAATGAACAGGGACTGCAGTTGGGCATTGTACCCATTCTTTCCGTACCCATGTCGGGCGTCCCGAAGCAAGGGCCCACGTTCGAGCTTCTCCCCCGGGAGGTGGAAAGACATCCTTTGCAACAGAAGGGGAACATGATTACGACGGACAACCTGCATGCACGTCCAGGCTCTCAGCAACGATTCGGAACGTCTGCAGGATTTGTTGCATTCCCTGCAGTGGGAAGCAGCAGTCGGGCGTCCAGATCGAGGCTCCCGAGCCCCTCGGCGCCTCGGCCCCCTCCGCCCCCGTCCTCTATCCGCCACTCCACGGTGGCCGTCTGCGCGCCCAGGAAGAGGCGCCCTGCCCGCAGGGGGGGGGGGGGGGGCTGGCGGCGGGCCCGCGGGGCCTCTCCCTCCCCCTCCTCCTTCTCCTCCTCCTCCTCCTCCTCTCCTCCTCCTCCTCCTCTTCCTCCTCCTCCTCCTCCTCCTCCTGCTCCTCTCCTCCTCCTCCTCCTGGCACACAAGCAAGTAGACACAAACACAGCTGGACCTGATCGGACAGGGCACGCGACGGGACAAGAGACCCTTCCGAGGGCCACGGCGCCATGGGAACGCAGGAGGCACGGGTCGCGAGGCACAGGGCACAAGGGCACCCTTGATTTGGCAGGGTCGACCTACTGATCAAAGCCGACTGCATCAGGATTCCCCATATGTTCCAATATGTTCTGGGTTATAGTCTTCCCCCCCCTCCCATGTCTTCCCCTTTATTCTGGGGGATCGAAGATCAATAGTGTCTGTGTGTGTTGTTGTATCCCTCCGGACATTCGCCTGCTGCGGTCAACCCGTAGAAGAGGGCGCAAGATAGAACAACGCAGGGGCCTCGGAAGGCCACGCCAGAACTCTGCGAGCGGGGCGCGGCCAGCGAAAGCGGGAAAGGGCGGGCCGAAGGGGAAGGACTGGCCATCGCTCGGACGTCCACTCCCTGTGCTTTTTTCGGTTTCGTGCGCTGGTTTTTCGCAGGATGATCCAGAATGCTCCTGAACCATCCCCGCCGAGAAATAGTGCACACGTCCGCGCGATACCAAGGGAAACGGTGGGCCGAAGGGTCGGGTGTTGCTAGCAGTACCCCTGGCCCAAGCAAGGCGCCCCCAGCTTTTCGCTCCATTTTGGAGCCCCTGGGGCCCTCTGGGCCTCGTGAGTGGTGCGTTGGAGGCCGTTTGGGCTCTCCTCCTCCTCCTCTTCCTCGTCCTCCTCCCCCTCCTCCGCCTCTTCCTCCTCCTCCTCCTCCTCCTCCTCCTCCTCCTCCTCACTTCCTCCCGAGAATCCTGGGGGCACCTTGGCCCAGGGGCACTTCTAGCAGCTAAGGGGACGGATGCAAAGGGCCGCCCCGGAACGTCGCTCGTCCTCCCCGCGCAGGCGGACCGTGCCCCTTCGCCGGCCGGCGGGGCCGGACGCCTGAAGGGTCCGAGCCGGCGAAGGGCAGGGAGAGAAACGCGTGCAGTCTCCCCTCCCCCACTTCCCGTATTTTTGAGCAGGGGCCGGCCGTCCCGGCATTCCTACAGTCCTACCACGAACTGCTCTTAGAACCCAAAAATGTTCTGAGCACACAAGCAATGTGCTCAGAACATAACCCGATGTGTTAAGACAAGACAGTCCCATCCAGATATGTTCTGAGAACATTTCGTGGGAAGCACAACAAGGTTCTTAGACCATTGTTCGGTGGGGCTATAGGCGAGCCGGGACCCTTCGCCACTGCTTGATATTTCCCCCTATTCTCTGGGGGATCGACGATTTATTGTGTCTGCGTGTGTTGTTTTCCCTCCTGGAAGATGCCGAAGCGACTCCGGCCGCGGCGACGAGGGCCCCCAAGGGAGGCCGGGAAGAGGGGAGCACGGTGCAGGGGCGGCGGTGTGCAGTCGGCCTTCATTGGACAGGACACGCGAGGGGACACATGTGACTACCTACCAGACAACCCCAACCCAACCCGAAGACTCGAACTTCGGGTTGGGGGGGGTACGGGCTGCATCTGTGTTTTTCCCTACCTAGGCTTTGCCTAGAAGGGTTCTTACTCTCTAGCTTAAAGGGGCCGGGCAGTGGAAAGCGCCCCGGGCGGTTCCCCCAGTCCCCGCCCCGCGGTTCCCCCAGTCCCCTGGGAGCTTTAGCTTGAGCTTTAGCTTGAGCTTTAACTTAGCTTTAGCTTAGCTTTAGCTTAGCTTTAGCTTAGCTTTAGCTTAGCGTTAGCTTAGTTTTAGCTTAGCGTTAGCTTATATTCAGCTTAGCTTTAGCTTTAGCTCAGCTTTAACTTAGCTTTAGCTTAGCTTGTACCTTAGCTTTACCTTAGCTTTAGTTTATAGTTAGCTTGGCTTTAGCTTAGCTTTAGCTTAGCTTTGGCTTAGGTTTAGCTTTAGCTTAGCTTTAGCCTAGCTTTAGCCTAGCTTTAGCTTAGCTTCAGCGTAGCTGTAGCTGAGCTGTAGCCTAGCTCAGCTTTAGCTTTAGCTTTAGCGTTAGCTTAGCTTTAGCTTAACTTTAGCTCAGTGTTAGCTCAGCTTTAGCTTAGCTTTAGCTTAGCTTTAGCTTAGGTTTATATTAGCTGTAGCTTAGATTCAGCTTAGCTTTAGCTTTAGCTCAGCTTTAGCTTAGCTTTAGCTTAGCTTGTACCTTAGCTTTACCTTAGCTTTATTTTAGCTGTAGCTTAGCTTTGGCTTAGGTTTAGTTTTAGCTTTAGCTTAGCTTTAGCTTAGCTTTAGCTTAGCTTTAGCCTAGCTTTAGCCTAGCTTTAGCTTAGCTTCAGCTTAACTGCATATTAGCTGTAGCTTAGCTCAGCTTTAGCCTCAGCTTCAGCTCTAGCTTAGCTTTAGCTTAGCTTTAGCTTAGCTTTAGCTTAGCTTTAGCTTAGCTTGAGCTTTAGCTTAGCTTTAGCTTAGCTTTAGCCTAGCTTGAGATTAGCTTGAGCTTAGCTTGAGCTTAGCTTGAGCTTAGCTTTAGCTCAGCTTTACTGTTACTACTAATGCTGCTTTCCTAGGGGCTCCAACTCCTAGGTAGGGTCGCACTGGGATAATTTCACTGTTCCCCGACACCCCCAACTGGAAATGGAGGGCAAATTGAGGCCTTCGGGTTGGGTTGGGGTGGTTTTGTGGGTGGTGAACATGACCCTTCCGAGGGTCCCATTGCCGTAGGAATGCAGGAGGCACGGGTCGCGGGACACAGGACACAAAGGTACCCTTGAGATGGCAGGGTCGACCTACTACTCCGGGCCGACTGTATTTTCCGACAAGATCCTGACATCCTGACCGGACATGGACGGGAAGCACCGATGACGTCCCTTGGGTTATGTTGCTCATATCGTACTTGCGGACCACATCCCAGAAATAGTTTCGAGCACCCGGAAAAGTGTCGAAGCAGTGTCGAAACAGTGTCAAAACAGTGTCGGGCGAGTGTCTCCCAGGGCCCGACAAGGGCCCGACACGTGAAAACCCTTGAGTTTCGGTACTTCTGTGGCGCCTTAAATTCTTTGTGGTAGTCAAGGCCAGAGTAGGTTGGAACATCATGACCATTGGGCTCACAAGGATAATGGCGACGACAAGGCGGCGGATGACGAAGATGACAGCGTGGATGACGGGGAGGGCAGCGAATGGAAGCAGGATGACAACAAGTAGGACGACAAGCACGAACACGCGGAGGAAGAGATGGAGGACGAGTCCGAGGAAAAACGAAGCGCAAGAGGAGGAAGAGAAGAATGAAGACGACGATGACGACGAAGGACGGTGAGAAGCCAGAGAAGAAAAGTTGATGCATGGGGGGTCTGCGTGATCTTTGAGGCTACCCTGGGGGCGGTTGGGGCCATCTGGGGCCACCTTGGAGCGTCCTGGGGGCCTCTCAGGGCCCTGTCGGGGTCCTCTTGCGAGCAACTGGAGTCTTCTTGGACTATCTGGGTATTTCTTACGGTTCTGTAGGCTCTCTCTTTCGTTAGGGGATCAAAAGATAGTATCAGCATAAGTTTTCAGAAGTACGCGCCGATTTTGTTGGATCCGCGCTGAACCCCCCTCCCTGGGAGCGCCAGGGATGGCGCCAGAGGCGCCGCCAGAGGGCCCAGCGCCGATCCGAAAAGTCTGCGTGGAGTTCCGAATGATTGTGTTTATGCGTTTATGATTGTTACGATTATTATCATGCTCATTATTATTATTACTACTATTATTATAAGGGGAAAACAAACCTACCTCGCTTTTGACCACCCTCGCTTCCAAGAGATACCAAACGATGCCAAACTACGGCCTGCGCTGGTCAGGCCGCTTGACGAGGAGGCGCGTGGTATGACTTGGTTTTGCCTGGAAGCGAAAGCGGGGGAGGTACTTCACGCTCTGATATTATTATTATTATTATTGATATTATTATTATTACTCCTCGGTTCAAAGCGACAGGGCGACGACGACAGCGACGACGACGGTCTGGCTTTCGGGCCATACCTCGGGTCTCCGGCGGCCGTTCTGGATTATCCAGGCACCCCCAGAACGCCTTCGGCGAGTCGCAGCTGCTAGAGAGCATTCGGGGATGGACAGACCCCCCTGTAGTAAAACGTGGTTTAGTAAAAACGACCTGAGGCCCAAACCTGGCGGGCGCAAGCCTGGAAAATAACGGCCACGGAGCCCTCTCGAGAACCGAAAACGGACAATTCACTAATCGACGCGTCACTATGGGGGGCTCTGTCCGCCCCCGAAGCAGAAAGACCTCTGGCAACCGACGAAAACGCCCGAAAGCGTCTGGCGGCGGCGGTCGCTGCTGCCGCCGGGGGCCTCCGGACGAGGAGCTGCCCTCGCGCGGGGGGCTCCCGAAGATTTCCGATGCCGCGGCCGCCTCGCAGCCGCCGGCGCGCCCCCGCGCCCCCGCGGGCCCGCGAGGAGGAGGCCTCCGGCCCCTCCTCCTACTGCTGCTCCTCCTCCTCCTCCTCCTCCTTCCCTAGCTCCTTTCCTCACTCCGTCATCCTCTCTTCCGCCGCCTCCTCCTCCCTCCTCCCTCCCTCCTCCTCCTCCTCCTCCTCCTCCTCCTCCTCCTCCTCCTCCTCCTTCTCCTCCCCCTCCTCGTCCTCGTCCTCGTTGTCCTCGTTGTCCTCGTCCTCGTCCTCCTCCTCCTCCTCCTCCTCCTCCTCCTCTCCTCCTCCTCCTCCTCCTCCTCCTCCTCCTCCTCCTCCTCCTCTCCAATCCCCTCCCTCCCTCCCTCCCTCCCTCCGCCACCGCGTCCTACTTCCCAATGCATCCTCTTATCCTCTCTCCCTCCCTCATCCACCTCTCTCCCTCCCTCTCCTTCTCATTTTCCCTCCCTCCTCATCCATCCCCTTCCCTTCCACCCCGTCCCTCCTCCTTCCTCCTCACCCCTCTTCCACCGCCTCCTCCGCCTCGAAACCCTCCAGAGAGGATCGATGTCAGACTGAAGGGCCGAACGATCTTACATTGCCCCTGGGGGTGCGAGGCTGAAGCGCGGATCCGCAGTGCGGATTCATGCTCTTATTTGTGTTGCCAAGCCCGCTCGGCGACCCCCTTTCGACGCCCCCCCCCCGCAACGTGCCCCGTGACCTGCCCCGCGACCCACCCACGACGTGCCCCGCGACCTACCCGCGATTCGCCTGCCGACCCGCCAAATCCAACCAGCTCTTTAGGGCGTGAGTGGTTTAGGGCGTGTCCTCTTCTGACCCCCTCAACCCCTTCGGGGAGGGGTTTATCATTATTCCTTATTAGTAGACACCCCCTCCCCCACCCAACTGGCGACAAACCCAGGACCATGCGAGCCCCCCCCCCCGACCATCCCTTGCAGACATAAATTATCGTGCAATGTTTATACAAAAGTGGATCATGCGCATCGGTTTTTGACAAAGACGAAGCAGGGGAGGGGGGCAGAAAGTTGCGTGCTCTGCGCAACGCCACCACTGCCCCACCAGTCCTGGTACAAAAATCATACACGATGCTCCGTGCACCCAAATCTGGATCATGCGCGGACAGCCCCCGAGGGACCGTGAGGGGGCTGCAGTCGGGGGCTTGACCTAAGGAGCCCAAAATAAGGAACGAGGCCCCTTTGTTCCATGAATTAAACTTCGATTTCCGATCGAAAGCATAAGGAACACCTGAGGCAAGCTGCGAAACACTTAAGGAACGCGGAGCCCCTCCCCAACGAAGAGGGGTTCCTTCTTCAGGGCCCCGACTGTAGCATATTGCCAGCTGCGCGCACTGCCAGCACCACCCAATCATCCCTGGCCCAAAAAAACACACACACACACGCACACACACACACACACACACACGCACACGCACACGCACACACACACACACACACACACACACACACACACGCACACGCACACGCACACGCACACGCACACACACACACACACACGCACACGCACACGCACACGCACACGCACACGCACACGCACACGCACACACACACACACACGGCGCACGTTGGAGCACGCGCGGACGCCCCGCGATCGCTTCGCGCTGGTTTCTGGCAGGCACGGCGGGCGGGGAGCGGCAGATTCCTTGGCCAGCACAGGCCCACCAGTCCTCCGTCCCCGACCCTCAAAAAGTCCCGGGGATTGAGCAACAGCCAACCACTGGTAATGTATATCTTGCAGCTTCCGACAACATTCTCCTTGCCAGGGACGGTGGCGGGAGGCAGCAGACTGCCTGCCGCGCAGAGGCCCACCATCCCCGCGAAAACAGATGCCAAATGATTGCGGCCGCACGCCCACGGACAGCACACGATGCTCGCAAACCCGCCATCACTTCGCACGGAGTCCTTGACAGGCGTGGTGGGAGGCTCGACGTCCTGCCACGTGTGGCGCACCTGGCGCGCTCGGCACACCTGGCGCGTGCGGCGCATGTCGCGGGCTTCGCGCACCTGGCTCCTCCTCCTCCTCCTCCTCCTCCCCTCCTCCTCCTCCTCCTCCTCCTCCTCCTCCTCCTCCTCCTGCTCCTGCTCCTCCTCCTCCTCCTTCGCCTCCTCCACCTCCTCCACCTCCTCCTCCTCCTCCTCCTGGCGTGCCCCTTCATTCCTCACGGTTGTCGATGGAGGCCCCTGCCTCTGCTGAGACTCGGGTGCTCGTTGCGCACAGCGGGCGGGAGTGAGCGAGACGACTGCTTGCGGCGCTTTGGCTGGGAACATGATCGCTGCTCCTTCTGAATACACACCACCCGACCGGCGACACACCCAGGACAGTGCAGGCACCCCTTTTCCATCCCGGGCCAGAAACACACTCGACGCGGATATCCCCACATGTGCATAGCATCCTCCTGTCACGCTTCGCTGAGAAACTCAGTCTATGAGTACCTTGGTGTGGGAGCGAGCCCGCGCAGACAACAGACCTGGCAACGACAACGACGACGACAGCCACGACTTCAGGGACGTCCTCCTCCTCAATTGGACATGTTCCAGGAAGAGACGAGGCGAGGCGAAGAGAGCGCCGACTCCGCTCCACGCGTGCGCGGGAAGTTCCTCCTAGAGAGGACGGCGGCGGGTCCGTAGCCCCTTAAGAGGATGTCAGTCCACCGTGTTCTTGGCCCGTGCGGTCTTCTCTTGGCCCCTTGGCAGAGTTTCGGGTTCAACGAATAAGTTGTGTAGCCCCACTTGTCCAAGCTGTCGTTGGTTACCTCTTCTGTCCATTCTTATTTCCGTTTTTCCGTATGCCAACCCGGCTCTCGCAGCCCATCTTCGCGAAGGGAAGCTCTGCCATACGAGTAGTACGTCGTACCCACTCCGCCGAAGACTGCATACCACTGTCGGTGTCGTTGTTGGCAGTGTCGGTGCACCGTTTTCGCGGCCATCTTATGATCACACGCAACATACGGCGCTGGGGTGAACGGACTTGTTGATCCAAGACCGTATACCATGACGCACATCCGTAAATCATCGTTGGGGTCACGGTGCCCGTAAATAGCCTGAACTTGTCGCGCAGCGGATATGCTCGAGAACGCAATCCAACGTTGAAAGATCACAAGTTGCTCCCAACTGGAGCACAATCGGAAGACAAGGGGTACACAAGTGGAAAAGCGATAGGAGGAATTCCCCCTTGTCGCGCTCCCCGCGGCAGCTCAGGCAAGCGCGCGTGGCGTTGCTGCGCCCGCTCTCTGGCGTGCTCCTGACGGCGCCTGCAGGCATTTCGGGTGCCAGCATGCCGCGGAGCGGAGGCTAGCTCGCGGCAGCCACTTGTGTGAGCCTCAGTGCGAGTGAATATGGGCATGGGTGATCTGATTGTGAGCGAGTCGGAGTGATTTGATTCAAGTAAGACCGAGCCTGACTCCGACGGACTCTGGATACAGTGTTAGCACGGGTGGGTCTGAGTATGAAGGAGTCTGCGTGCGAGCGAGTTTGAGTGCGAATTAAGCTGAGCCGGAGTGAGTCTGAATGTGGGCGAATCAGAACTTGAGCGCGATGAAACCAAATCTGAGTATAAGTGAGCGCGGGTGCGAGGTAGTCTGAGTACGAGTGCGTCGGAGGGCTAGCAAATCTCAGTGTGAATGATGAATGTGAGTTTCTCTCAGAGTGGGCGAATCTAGTGTGAGCGAGCCTGAATGAGCGAGTAAGAATGCGTGAGTCCGATTATGACCGCATTTGGACATGAGAGTCTGAATGTGATGAGTGAGTCTGAGTAAGGAAAATGTGTTGACGAGTAAGTCCGCGTGCGAATGAGTGCGCGCGTCCAGGGATAAGGGCAAGGAGGTGTGAGCGGATGAGCGAGTGAGGAGCATACAGGTCCAAAGAAAAGTCTTGGGGGGCGTAATTAGGCAAACCGCCTGAGACATGCCCCCAATCTGAGCGCGAATCCTGAAGTGCCCCCACCCATGGCGGCTCCGCACGAACCCTAGAGTGTCCCAGCCCCTGGCGGCTCACCCTTGGGAGTGTATAAATGCCACGCCTGCTATATATACATATATTTATATATATGTATACACATATACATATATATATATAATAATAATAAATACATATATATAGCATTCATTCATACTGCATTAGTACCGATTTGTAGGCAACAAAAAAAAAGCTGGCACCGCAAAGCCTGGCGAGAGCAGAACAGAACACTCACCTGGGTTTCTTCTCCTTCACGGAGCACAAGCCCTGGCAACTTCCGTACCTAGCCCGACGGTGGGCAGACGGAGATCGCCTGGCGCGGGGGCGCCGAGCCTTTTGAAGGTTCGCCTCCCCCCAACACATCAGTGCGCACTGACCCCAAACTCAGTGACGATTCAAACCGAGACTGCGAAGCAGTATTCAAAAACTGCCAGCTGAATTCTGGTGAGTCTGACTCCCCCTAGACTTGCTACCCGCTGCGTCGCCTGACATTCTGTTTTTTTGAGCGGCTTCCAGCGGTGCCCGCTCAGACGAGAGGTTTCCTGGCCGACCGGCTCCCCTAGACTCGGGTCGGGGCCCAAGGGTTCATGGTCGCCTGCTGTAATATCATTGGGCTCTGCCCCGACGACCATCCCCGCAGCGTCCCCTTTAGCCCTTCGCAGCTTACTCTGAACTGCTGGGGTTCCGCTCTGCCTTAAACAACTGCGCAGTGGAGCTGGCTGACTTGCCTGCGCCTGAGACAGACTGGATGCGAGACTGTCTCTCTCAGCCTCATGAAGTGAAGAAGCTGCCTGAGAGAAACCGCCCATATCAGTTCCATCCACAACAGACTGGGAAACTGCAATAGCTGGTTGATAATTCCCATTCATCTCGACGTTCCCCACATTATGCTCAGAAGTGGCTGCCGTTACCAATCTTCTCATCATCATATCCTGCGCATCCGATAAGCCAGGCCCCCCCACTGGTGCTTTCCATGGCAGCCTCGTAGCCCCCGCGTGGCGAAGCACCTGCGC